AGAGTATAATGCTTTATAATCATCTTCAATATATTTGAAAATTTCAGCTGAAACTTCAAGTGGTAAAGTTTTTGAAACCATTTTTAATTCGTGTAACTTTGTTTGATTATTATTTTAATAATATTCCTAATTGGTTTTTTCATTTCTTCAAATAAATAAATATACCTACTAACAACTTAATATTAATATATAATCGTATTTTTTCGCAAAAATCATCCACAAAAATATCCGCAAATTCATCACCCGTAATATTATTCGGAGAGCGCATTTTTTAATGGTTTTTATTTTTTCTTCCAGAAACTCTCCAATAAAAAAATATCACCTCATCCGTAAATTATGATAAAACAACAATAATAATAGTCTATTATTTGTTATCCATTTATAATTTTTGATCTATTCTGTTTATAGCATTATGTGTGGCTATTTTTTGTTTTTGTTTTTTTAATTAGTCTGTTTTAATAATATTTATTAATTTGAATTATACTTAAATTAATTAGTGAAAACAAAATCTATGGGATTTTTTTAAATTATTTTTTTAACAAATTCAGAATTTTCAGAATTTCGTTTTTATTGGTTTGTATAGACAAAATTTGACTAATTATTTTAGTCTGATTTTTTAAAACACAAGTCAAGCTTAATATTTGAATTTAATTGAATATTCTTTATTCGTTTTTATTATAATCATCCGCAAATCACCAAATCAATTTCTAAATAAGGATAACACGCACCCAACCCATCAATAAAAATTGGATATTCTGAGGTTATTATTAGTTTGTTGATGGTAATGTATTTCCGTTGGAATTGATAAGGTTATTAAATAATACCTTAATATTTTTTATACATGAAAAACTAGTTGTCATTTTTGAGAGTATGTTGATTTTAAAAAAATTGGAATTTATTTTATTAAACATAATTAACATTTTAAGTTAAATCAAAAGAAAAAAACATCTTTAATGTAAAGAAATTTCATCAGGAGAAAAAAAAAAATAGTACAAATATATGATAAATAATTACAATAATTGATAGTAATACTTCATAACTGTATATTCATGTTTTAAATATCCTAAATATTGATGTTTTCTTAATATATCTTCTAGTTGCTTCTTTTCCAAAAAATTATAATTTTCATGTGATTCTATTATAAAAGGTTTAAGTCCTTTCCAATTCTTCATTAAAATATTTAATGAACTATCATCATAAATAGCAATTTCACACAAAAAACATAATTTCTTTAATTTCTTTGGTAATGTTTGATTTAATACTCTCAAAATTATATCCACATCTAATGATTTGCAATAATTATCAAGTGGAATTTTTTTAAATGAAATTTCTTTTAATTTGATGCAATTATTAAATATTTCAAATAAATGTTGATCTAATTCATTATTATAAATTATTGCTAATTTTTCAAGATTCAAACAATATTGTGCAATTGTATGAAGAAATTCTCCTAAATGTTCCTTATCCTCTGGAAATCCATCAATATATAATATTTTAAGATTTTTCCCATTGATTTTAATAAATTCTGCCAACTCTAATAGAAATGATTGATGGCTAATTGTTAAACATAAAGCTTCAAGATTTGGAAATGATTTTAAACATTTTATAATTTCATAATTATTATTTAATGATAATAATTTCAAATTTTGAAATGTTGGTATTATTGGAGAATTTAAACTATCTACATCAACATTAGTATAACTTATAATTGATTGTGAATGTGTTGTTATTGCTTTT